AAAAAAAAAAAAAAAAAAAAAAAAAAAAAAAAAAAAAAAAAAAAAAGTATCCATTTTCAGTCCCACTCTTTTGAATTAAGAGCCACTTTACCGATGGGCGGATAGACGAATCTACCCAATAAATATATTTAGACGATGTTTACATGGCAATTATTATAAAGAAAATTAGGGCGAGATATAAAAGAGATGCAAAAATACATTTTCAAATTGAGTTCATTGTTCATTTATTTTATAAATTCAAAGTTAAAAATTCAAGTTAAAAATTACGATGAGAATTCAAACCTTAATATAAGAACTAAAATAAGAAAACTAATTAAAAGAAAATTCAATTACTATGTCACGTTTTTCTTTTAACAAAAGTTCAGACATCAAGTCTTGGAAAAAATGCGGATTAACATTACGACTTAATTTATATAATAAAAACCAATCACCATAACACTTCTTGGCCAGTATTTGTCTTATATCCTGGACAGCCATGTGACGTGCGTTTATGCGAATTAAGTGTACACGCATAGTAGGAAAAGCGATTAACGCCAAACGGTAAATTACCTTTTGAGCTGCTAAGATTGACATGAGTACAAACCAAATCCAAAGGAAAGCAAACAGCTTTTCGTTGAGTACATTCAAAGGTAACATGCAAACAGCGTCATGGATTTTAATAGAGCCACTTGGACCATATGTATAGAAAGTGCATTTGGCCATTTTTGGAAATATTTGTGAAGAATGTTGATTCCAAAGGTGCCAATTATTAAAAGAGATAGTATACAACGCTTTCATATACTTGGACCAAAATCCATCCAGGAAGAAGTGTAGAAATATTATATTGCCAATCTGCTGAAAAAAAGTTGATAAGGTTACTGGCTCTGCCACAAAAATTTCAACTTACACTTATCATCAAATTAAGGAATTCACATATGAAGTATTTCATTGCGTATTGTTGATGTGTATTTCTGTTGTCTTTCGAAAGATACGCTTTAATCAAATTTGTATGTTTTTTATGTTCATCGATTGTTATCAATGGTGCAACTAAAATTCGAAACGATCGAACGAATGTATAAATAAACATATATATATAGTTAAGCTCTTTTGCACAAACATACCAACTGCTGAGCATAGTTGCTCCAAACGTTTATCTTCCCATATTTCCCAAAGAAAGGCTGGCATGTAAAACAATAAACCTTCTAGGAGCAAAACTACGACAACCCACTGATAATAGCGCAAATTTACATTCTCCTTGTCAAATCTCCGTGGACCAACGCCTACGGCTATTTCGTTTCTCAAATCGTCCGTTGAGCTTGGAATTAAAAAAGTGCCCATCGTCCAACAGTAAGAATGAATGTAGTTCTTAAATTTTGAGTCTGTCATACATTCAATTGGATCGCCAAAATATTGCTTAGCAGAAAGCAATAATGTAAACATCCACAAAATGACTGCTGTCCATTTAGAATGTATGAAAAATATAACATCATATATATTGGCCTTTTTTGCTTGTAGCCATTTGATAAATTCTTTTGGAAATAAAATCATTTTTACTTTGTCACAAGTGTGAAAACGTTTCCACGTGATATAACCTTCTTCAAAAAAACTTCTTTCCAGAATGAACTCTACAAGTTAAACGCAAAAGCTGCTTATAACCGTCAAAAGTCTTTTACTAGTCTTGAAACACATGTTTTATAAAATATTCAGGGTAAACACAGAGATGTTTCTGAATGATCCAGAATTATTTAAAAAAAAAAAGTCTAGTTTAGTTGCTTTGACATAAGGGACAAAAGAATTTCTAAATAATGGATTTCGAAGCGGCGGGGTGAAAACTAAAGATTTTTAATAGAAAAAAAGTGCATTATTATTTATTCATGGATGGAATTTTCCCAACGTATGTTCAGTATTTGCATGTTGTGTAATGTAGGAATGTAAAAGATTTGATATGAAATGCATTAGCGTGTAGCATATCTTCCGGAGCGATTGTTTTTAATATATTTTACAAACACCGTTAGAAAAACGAAACTTCATCTGTCAAGTTATTGCCATGGAATTTCACGCGTCTGTAATTTTTTGCTCGACAATTAAGTAGAAGACGGTAATACCCATTAGTTTTTCGTTTCGCTGGCGATATTAGAGAAAAGAAATCAACATAATTTGGAATAAGGTAACGAGGGTCTTGGAAATATTCTTCCCGCCACAAGAGAGCATGTATGCGGCACATCAACTTTAATAGCGTTAATCAGCAAACAGGTAGCGTAAGTCCGCAATTCGAACAATTCGGTAATGAGCCTCTTTCTCCCAATTTTCTGGATACTGCACTCAAATTTAAAATACCGCGTGATGTGGATATAGATAACGGAATGCATTCAACAGCTTCGAAACTGTGAGTCTTCCTATGACCACGAGGAACAATTGCTGACACAAATGTTGCGTACTTTTCAATTAGATTTGCAGTGGAGTAAAATCTTAAGTCCCTTATGTTGCAGAGCAGCTAATACTGCACCAACGAACTAATGGATATACGGAATTTTGTAAATTTCAAAAAGATACCGGGAGGCAAACGTTTAGAGAGTTCAATTACGGCAATGCGATGTACTCACCAACATTGAAGGTAATATTGCACAACCAAAATTAGGTATATGCGATAAGTTTTGTATACGCACTTACAACGATGGCAATAATGGTGCAAAGACCCTAATGTTTTTCGAGAAGGCGGCTTTACTTGCCTATTACGTGGGGGTGATAACAAAGAATTGGCTAGAGTGAAAAAAGTTGCCTCATTCTTAGTATACGCTCGATACAATTGGCGCTTGGAGATGTCATTTTTGTTAGATGAATACGCAGAAGCTTTAACCCCGAAACCACCAATATTCGATTCCAAAGAAACAAGTCCGGCTGACGAAAATGCTAATATAAACAAAAGTTCAGAAGAAGAAAATGTAGCGCAAGCATGTTAAGAACGGCTGTTTCTTTTAATTAATTCGATTATCGTTGATTATATTTAATTTCCAATCGAATATTTCGATTAAAATGAATAAACTAAATGAATAAATATTTGTTTAGATATTTGTGTATATCCCAAACAGTTGCCTACCAAATCCATAAAAAAAAAAACACTTGACTGCAGAAAGCTTTAGATAAGAAACAAAACACAAGCATCGACTCCTCCTTTACCCGGTTTCTGACACGATTTGTAAATAACACGGTTTGCCAATACACTTGTTTTACACGAATTCTTTCTTTCGGTCGTATGGTATACTTTTCTGGTCGTATGGTATACTTTTCTGGTCGTATGGTATACTTTTCTGGTCATATAGTATACAGCGGCTGTAAAGCCTCTGTCCAAGTATTTACAGTTTAAGTTTGTTCGCATTTACGATATGGTCTTTACATTGCACTCCAAGTGTACCGTAGTCATTCTGTTGACTTTCACATTTTTGCTATCTATCAGCGAAACAGTACTTTGGCGATCCGATTCAATGCATCAGCGATGAGAAACACGTCGATTATGTCAACTCTTTTTGTTGGACAATGGGCACTTATATACTAAATTACTATGATCTAAATGAACAACAAAACACAATAACAACATTATCTAATAGTAAGGATTATAAAATGCGAGATTTGGCCTTTGCTATAGCGGAAGGTAAATTGAAGATTTAATGAGGATATTTCCGCATTTATTATATGCCGTTTTTGTAGGCGTTGGCCCAGAAATACCAAACAAGACGAAGCGTGTCTATTTGCGTTATTATCAGTGGGTAATAATCATGCTCCTTATGCAATCGATGATCTTTTACTTTCCTTCCTTTTTATGGAAAGTTTGGGAGGGTCAGCGCTTGAAGCCATTGTGTGCAGATGTCGGTAAGTCCGTAGGCTTCACTAATATTCCAAGTTGTCATAAATGGGAATGAAATGTAAGGAATACATTAAGCAGATTAACCGAACGAATCAAAAATCTAACTAAATACAAGATGCAAATGAAGACAAAATTTTTTTTATCCTATGCTAAATACGACTTGTACGAAGTAAGTAAATAACGCAAAAATAAAAAAGTTTTATTTGCCTTGAGATGAATCTTGGGTATCTATCATCATAAGAATATTTTGAAATTTCTTATTTTTGAGGCTATTTTAGCTCTTTAGGTATTATAATTTTGTTTGCAGGCGAGCGTTTCAAACTTAATTTTTTTGTACTTCTACCAAGGATAGAACACAGGTGCCATGTTATAACTTTTTACCTTAATGATAAAAAAATTGGAAAAGTAAATAGACGGACAGATTAGCGGATGGACGGATGAACATAACTAGATTGTCAAAAAATCTCGCGCTGATTAAAAATATTTATACTTAGTAGGGTCTCGAAGGCCTACTTCCGGTCATTACAAATGCAGGGACATTCTTCTATTAAACGACAACGTGAAACTCACATAACGAATTATGCTTGTAGGTGCCGTCGCCTTTAATTTTATATATTTTTTTTATAATTTTAGGTTTTTTGTTCTTGCAGGAGATGCACTATTGCCGGAAGAAACCTATATGAATAAACGAAAAATGCTGCTTAAATATTTTACCGCCGACTACAAGGACCTGCATTTTTGCTATATGGCTCGATATATATTTTGTGAAATACTTTGTGAAACTTTGCCATCAGTTTTTTAAACATTGTGCTACTAGACGTATTTCTAAATGGCTTCTGGTGGAAATATATACAAGCTTGAGCGACTATACCACGTTATGAATGGTCCGAATGAAATACAATGACATCTAGAGTATTTCCGAAGATTGCTAAATGTCATATGCTCAAGTACGGTTATTCGGGTTCCGCAAACTCACTTGACATACTCTGCATTTTGCCATTAAATATATTAAATGAAAAAATTGTTGCCTTTCTTTGGTGTTGGTTCATGGCAATGACATTATTGGCTGGTCTAATATTGATATACCGCGGACTGCTTATATTTCATATGCCATTTCGTTGGCAGCTAATAAGTGCGGTTTATGTCGAAATCGCACGTACGTTGCGCGTTGGGGGACATGTCATTTGGCGATTGGTTTATACTCTTCAAAGTGAGCGCGAATATTAATCCGATACTTTTTCGCGATTTAATGCAAGAACTCTACGAGGATCATAGAAAAAAAATTTAGATTTTTCAACCTGATATTGGTATAGTATGATCATTCTGTCAGTAAAAAAAAAAAAAAAAAAATAAATAGTAAATAAGAGCATTTGTATGATAAGTTACAAAAAGTTATACATTATGAAAATTGTTGTATATATAAAAACTTATCTAATATGTTATTTAATAGGATGGAAACTATATATTATTGAATTATAAATACATTTTGTTATATCATGAATTCCTAAAAAATGAATGGATTTTGTAAATTTAAATCGATGAATACATTTGTTTTAAGTACACCGAGTTGGGTGGGCAAGAAAAGAAAGTAGGTTTTGTCACAGTGTTATCGAAATGCACCAATCTTATATGATGTGGGCGCAAATCTCTCTTGGGCAAATATCAAGGTGAGGCAAATTAACTAATTCTCTTAGAAGCTAGCAAAAATGTTAAGAAGCGAATATCTTAAAATATTGTCTTCCAGAATTTGCGAAAAACTGGCATTAGTAAAGATTATCAAAAAGCCAAGAGAGTATATCAGATGTTATAGCATATTCAGAGGCTAATCAACCGCGTGTTCTTAGCTGAAATGGAAATTCTCCATAGTTTTATCACACATTGGCAATTTTAGCGACTATGGTGCAATCCGATAAATTTAAGGACCGCCTGTAGTTATGTCGGATTTTGATAAGCTCTTACATCTTCTCTTAATAAAAATTCTATATATATTCGTCCCATCTCTAAGATTATGTTCGAAAACCATTCAGAAGATATTCAAACTAACTTTAGATTGCAATCGATCGTTGGTCGAATTTCGTGCAACAGTTCTACGCAAATACTTCGGAGATATTGTACTATAGCGAGATAATATTAAAACTATAATCGAAGCTGTATTTTTTTTATTTTTTTTTTATACCTTTCGATGCACTGATTCTCAAAGAAAACGTTTGTACACTTATTTGAATTATAACAGGATATGTTTCAATTATATATGAAGAATTTGTCAGGTGCTTGATCTATATATTTTCTACTCAAAATCTTCTTGTAAGGTCCCTTACGTCTGCTCCGTTAATTATCTTGATTTTCTTTACGTCTGCTATGAGACTCCTTAACCTTCTATTTTTTTTTTAGTAAAAAGAGCGATTATGTTCCTGCATCCAATTGTAGATATTTACTATGAGATATTTAGCGTGGTCTGGCTTGTCATTAGTGTAATGCTTAATATTACATGCGGACAGCTTTTGAGATTAAAATGCAATTAGACAAATTACGAGTCCATTACATTATATTATATTGCATTAATAGCAAAAAAACTTTTCACAATTTCTAGAAGCAGGCTTTGATCGCTTTTGAGAATAATCGCGGAAAATGAACTCCTGTTTCTCGTTCGACCGCAAAAGGGGAGAAATTAATGAGCAGCTATAGAGTCACTTTCAAACACGCAGTAAACTAAAAAGGAAACGAGTTCAAAGGAACATTTCTATCTATATTTCTAATAGTGTCCATATTGCCATTTTAG